GCTGCATTTCAGATTAATATAAAACCTATCAAGAATACATGAAATTACAAATTTAACTTGAGAATACACATTTTAAATACTAAAGGATCTGCATTTCACCTATAAAGAAATGAACTAGTATTTTTTTTATTTACTTACAAATATAAGTATTCTTCATGCTAATATTATTGCCGTGCCCTCTCCCCTTCCTATTCTTTTAAAGTTTTCATTTTATAGCTAATATTAAAAAAAGAGCTGATTTTAAAAACCTCTGAAGACAATGGTCAAGAATGCATATTTGATACATACTAGCCCTACTTCAAAGAAGTTTTACTAAGCTGACTAAAGCCAATATAGAGATCACATATCTTCTGGTTAGGATAAACATAATAAATACATTACAATTTTAAGGATTCTTCCAAACTGAAGTACAGACACTTCAAAACCAAGGCACCCTCCATCTCAGGTAACTGCCTTGAGGAACTACTCGGAAAAGCATTATGGTATTAGAGTATCTCCAATGCCAAGTCCCTGGCAATAGGGAGAGGAGAAAAACGTAAGTTTTTTTCACTTTCGAAAATAAATGTAATATATTGATAGCTTCAATAAACTGAGCTATTTTAACATCAGTATCATCCACTGACAAGCAAAGCTACTGTATTTAAGAGAATTCACTCCAGCTTCTCCCCCACATACTTATTTTAATTAATACTTTGGAATTTGTAATTGGCTTATGTTTATACAGCACTCTGAAAATGTAAACTGCTACATAAGTGACAGCTAATCATGAGGCTTAAGAAGCATTCATCAGCTTTGTGTGAATTCACAAACAAACAAGTAGTTCTTGAAAGTACTAGTACAGATGGCTATTAAATATGTCATTCTATTCATTTTAAGAGATTGCCCATGAACCTTCTGAAACATGCAATTTACATGTACAATACCAGCATTTAAGAAATCTAGCAGTACTGCAATTCTATCATAGCTTTCATTGTTACTGTTTCTGTTGAAATTATTTACCCTATTTACACATCAGGAACTACAGTATTTAGTTAATACTGAAAATGAGTGCCAATTCATTTGAAAAAGTGGCTCCAAATAGGCACCTCAGCCTGTAGTGCTTTTTGAAATTATAATTCACTATGTCATTTCCTTCTATTTAAAGAACAATAACTTAAAGACTTCATGTTCATTTCTACAATCTGGAAGTTGTCCCAGGAAGGATGGTACAATCTGTGAGTAAAACTGCTGAAGATCATTGACGATCTAGATCTACAAATGAAGGACTGCATTTCCTGTAACTCTCTTGCAGCTTTTATTCATTAAAATTGAATCAAGACCACATAAAAGGAGAGAGGCAATAAGATATTGAATCAAATTAAACATTTATTCTACTAGTGAAGACTAGCAGGCTTTTTCTCAAATACCCCAATGCAAAAGAAGAAAGGAAACAATACCGTACAAAGACTTCCAAAACTAGCACTGAACAAAACACTAAAAGGAAAATACAGTGAAGGGAAAGCTTTCATTGCATGGAAATGCATTAAAGTGATATAATTAACAATTAAGCTTACAAATGTCTGAGGCTTAATAAATTCTTAGTTTTAAGCACCTGCTGATTTAAGGAGACAAACCCAAAACTTATTATTCACTGCACAAAAATAAGCATATATTCCCATTACAGGCAAACTTTCAATAATTGCCTGTATGTTCAAAAATTGTATTTACATTTGTGGTAACATTGCCACATTAGAAATTTAAAAGTCAATGAAAGGCTTCAAAAATCCAGAATACAAAGAAAGATTAAAAGAATTATTGTAACTTCACAAACTTGGAAGCTGCAGCTTTCCTTTTGTCTATATAAGCCTTAAAAAAAAAAATCAAAACGTTTCTCTGAAAACGAGTTGCAAAGTATAGCAGCAATTTAAGAACATGGCAGATTGATTCAGTCTCATTAAAACAGGCATTTCTTAATTGGTCATTCTGAGAAAAATTACTTTTCTACATTAAAAGTAAACAATTGTATAGTTGAAACTTATTTCATTTAATAAAAGCCTTAACTGGAGAAACACTCCCACTTGTTAGCTCATTGTATATGCAATTCAAACCAAATTTGTTAGTGTTCTATTTCAGTAGAAAAGGGCAATTTTGAAGGCTGGTATGTTTTTATTGTGTGATTTAAAACATGCTCTACACAAATTTCAATTCTACATGGAAGGACTCCCATCCTGCTTTCAGAAATCAAACTATCTAATTATATGGTCTTGGAAGTCTTTTGTGATCATTGCAGCAAAGGATGTAACATAGGCCAGTTTCAAGTAACTGTTCTTTCACTGTAGGACAGGGCTGAATTAGCCAAGCTCTCTGGGCAACACTTCTCAGACAAAGCGCAGTAACCTTTTGTTTATTGTTCATTTACTATAATTGTTTTACATTGTGAGCATCAGTGGGAAAGAATCCATTGTATCTAAAAGCTGAAGGGAAGAAACAGCCACATGTTACTCTGGATCCCTGCTTCCTCGAAAGGTGAATCCTGGCTATTGTGACTATACCTATGGCTGAAGTCTTGCTGGGGAAAGGACTTCTGAAGAAGTCAAAGCATGGAAGATTACTTGATTGAAAACATGCGCTTTCAAGACACAGTAAAGTCAGAGACCAGCAGTACAGGGGTTCCAATGTAAGTGATGACTTCACATTGAACAATTAGTCTGCCATGTATCAGCAAAACTGTGGCACTAGCAGGAAATCAAAATAGTCGATGAACCGGTTGGGGTTTTTTTTAGTGGAAGAGTATGAAGTTGTTTCTTGTCACAATTGCACTGGAATCTACTGAGCAGATTACAGACTGGAACTTAGATGAACCAGGTTGTATTTACAACTGCTGTCAATTTGCTGAGCAGCTCCAGGTAATTCACATCATGCACTGTCTCTCATTTTTGACACTTGTAGGAAAATGCATACAGTTATTTCCTGCACTTGTCATAGCACTTTGACATAAACTGATGGGAAGTCCTGCATAAAAGAAAAATCTTATAAGCTTGTGGATGCAATTCAGTATTAAGATCTTAAAGGTTAGAAAATCTGTAATTCCAGGCAAGAGCAATTTAAAGGATTTAAATCAGTTTGTACTTTCCTGATCTGGACCTACCAAGAAATAAAGTTGAATCCACTCATACCTATTCAAGCAACTCAAGTGGCAGTAACTTTTTGCTGCTTTTCTGTGAGCAGTAGCCCTGACTAGAATCATTGCAAATTCTTCGCTTGTTTCTTATATTAGAATTTGCACATAGATCCTTGATAATATCCCACAGCTTCAAATTCTATCTTCTAGCCCCTGATGCTACAAGCCCTTGACTTTTTTTCTGAGTTTGTTTAAAGATGTGTAAGAAGCTGATTATTTGTGATCTCTGGTAACACTAAGAGACCCCAGCCTAGATGATGAGGGCTTGTGGCATCAGCCCCTACCATGTTACATCCTACTATCACTTCCTGCTACAACAGCACATTATATAAGAAAAATGGGTCAAACTAAAGAGCACCAGAAGCCTTTTTCTTTAGAAGTTAGACAGTAGCAATGCAAGCTTCACTTGAGTTTGCAATGAACAGAGCTAGACCTGGAACAGTAAAGGTACTCTTCTCTGCAAGCTAGTTAAGTCATCAACCTGTCTGTTGAAGAGAACAGCACGTTTCTCATAACAGACTTTCAGGATATGGATATACAGCCATGCTACAGGAGACATAATTTTGTGACAGCTTAAAGACAGAAAACCTAAGGTTTTATACAATTCACACTGACACAAGCATTATTTTTTATTCCTCCACAGATTCCAACATTACTAGGAAGCTCTTCTACCTTAATTTTGTATGCAACTAAAACTAGCCTTAAGTAATCTCTCGAAGGGACCAAGCATTAAAGGTTGTAACACAAAGTCAGATGCACAAAAATGCATACAGGTTTTGTTATGATCAATGTTCACCCTATAAATATTTTTTTTAGAATGCCTTGATTTACTGACCCTGTAAAATGAGGACTTTGATAAAGAAAGTCATGATGACATTTGGTCTACTTCACTGTACACAACTTGTAGCATTAAGAGGTATTATAGAGAATGAACATACACAAAACTTGCCATGAAATGGAAAGATGAACAGTACTAATAGCAAGGAGAGGATGGGGAGGCACAGAGACTTCTCACAAATAAGTGAAATAGGACTAGCCCAGGACAATTTTTACACACAGGAAAATTGAAGAGATGAGAGTATAGCCTGATTAATCGCACTGAGGGAAAGGAAGTGAAAAACAGGCACGTGCAATGAGGTGCTGTTGTGCACAGTAAGTGCCAAGTGTACACAGGCAAAACACTACTTTCTAGCTTTTAATGTAAAAGAAAAAAAAAACACCCTAAAAAAACAAACAAAACACACCAAAAACAAAAAAAAACCACAACCAAACTTACTTATCTACAGGTTGGAAGGAAAATCTCAGAAGAAAAAAAATCAGTTATTATCTTTTTTAGAATTGCCTTTTTAAACAAAAAGTTATGGCTATTTGGGCCACAGTGTAAGCAGAAGCTCCTTAAAACAAACTGCCACTCAATCACTCACAAAGTCTGATAAGCCCAAACACTCTATCACAGAGAAGATGCAGCTATTAAAATGGTATGTTGAAAGTTACCTCAATAAATGTTGTACAGTACATGGTTCTAGTGGAGACATTCAGCTACGCTACCACTCATTGAGTTATAAGCTCAAAGTTCTGACTGGTGTCTGTTGTAACTTTAACTAATATGACAGACAACTGACACCAAAATGTATGAAAGCAAACTGATTTAAGTAAGCTCTAGCACACTGTTTTTTAAAGCTGGGGGAGGGGAAATAAAAAAAAAAAAAAATAAAAACAAAAAAAACCCACAAAACAAAACAAACAAAAAACCAAACAACAAAACCAGACACCACCACAAAATGAGACCAAATCCTGAACAATTCTTACTATCAAAACATGTATGAATAGTTCAACTTACTCTTTTACTGAGGCAGATAACTGGCCACATACTACAACCTAAAGTGCAGCAGCAGCAAAGGCATCCACATAGTAGCCATCGTACATTAACTGGAAGGTTCTTCTTAAGACAACTGTTAACTCTACTGATGCTGGCTTTAAATTCTTCGGGTGCAACCTACAAGGGAAAAACAAAACAAAACAAAAAAACAGCTAGTACCACAGCAGTGCTTTTTATTACTTTTACAATGGTCTACACCTGGAACTCCTGTTTTTGTAATAAAAATCTTAACTCTGATTTTAAATTCCTATTCACAGATACTCACCTTTCCAGTTAGAGAGGAAGGAAATTCTGCTTCGAATTTGTTGCTTAGTCCAAACCTGCAAAACGAAAACCAAGATCATACCAAAATTAGAAATAACCTCATTTCACACCACAAGTCATAAGCACGTCACAATACTCTCTGGGTTTGTATCACACTAGCATTAATTTCAGGGAAAACTAGTTATTAGGAGTAATTCCTAAAACTATCCTAACTGACAAAAGTACACCACTGTACACAGTCTGAAATCCTTCTTGCCTATAGTCTCTTCTTAAAGTTCCGTTGATACTGCTGACTCTTCCCCAAACTCAGCAAAATCTTTATATGCAATATGAATGATAAGTGAAGTACTTAAGGGGTGAAGGGAAGTAAGTTAAGGCCACAGTTTGAATTACCTCTTCTACCACCAGTGCAGATGTCTCAAAGAAAAGCTCATCTTTTCTTTAGGCTGTGCTAAATAACTGGTTTAAGTGTAAAAACTGAATCAATACCAGCTTCTTTATTCAGAAAAAAATATATTAATAAGTTTCAGAACACAAAATACTACCTAGCAAAGCATTATTTTAATTATTTAATTAAATTATTTTAATGATTTAAATTATTTAAATGGTATCTAATTTGAAAGAAACATACTGATTACAAATGTAAAGCTATGAAGCAGTCTGAGGTGAGCTGGAGTCACTGACTTCCAGGTTTCAGAAGATCTAAATAGTAGAGAAGTTTCATATCATCTATTTAAATAAAGAGGTTTCTATCTTATAGTTGGCTGGTGGAGTTAATGAACGGATGAACTTCAAAGTATTTTAATGTTTTCTGGCATCTAGTCTGGGCAATAACTTCTAACAGAGACTATACAGTCTAACAAAGTAGTTAGTAAAACTATATGACTGGCTACTAATTTGGGAAACAGCAGTCTCTGTAAAACTTAAGTTGTAATTAATAATCTTCTGACGATAAACCAAAGAGTCTTACTATTAGATACTACAAACAACACAAATCAGAAATTAAACTGCTCAAGACTTGAATACAGGCAGCAAGACCTAACAAACAGTGCTCAGCTGTAGGCAGAAAAGCTACCTGAACTTTGATAGTTGAAGATTTTAAAGACCTAATTTGTTTTGACAGTATGTTTACTGAGCAGCTAGGTGCTTATTGGGGTTTGTTTTGGATTTTTCTTACTGAATCAAATGATCTGCATGCTAATGGAGAATTTTATCCAAGTAATCAAATGGGCAGTTAAGTGCCATACCAATGTTGAGCTACTGGGGAGGGGCCTCACAAAACCCAGGGGATAAAAGGTGACAGAGGAGCTTCTGCTTATACAAAGGTGGTGAATCTTGGAAAAGCTAAACTGTATTTACATGATACTCAACTGAAACTTATTAGCTACAGCTCACACAAGAGATCTTTTATCACCAGTCATGATTGTCTTAAATATCAGCTCAATGCAAGCAGCAGCTGCCAGAAATATTGGCCACCACTAGGAATAATAGGATTAAGGATTAAGAACCCCACAGAGGGCATCATTTTGACTCTCCATAAAACCCTTGTATACCCATACATACATACTGTACCTGTACAGTACTACGTGAGCTTCTAGCATCCACATTTCATTGAGGAATTGGTGGAGTTAAGGGAAAGCAGAAAGAAGGAAGACTAACATAATAAGGGAATAAAGCAGCTGCTTTAGAAGACTGACAAGGCTGACACTAGCTTGGGAAAGAGAAGGCTGAGGGGGGTATATGATCAAAGTACAAAGATTCAGGAAAGCAGTGGATAAGGTGAATGATTGACTGTTAATCACCAAATCCCACAACAGAGAGCACACACTGAAACTAGTCTGAGATTGGTTTAAAACAGATAAAAAAGTGCTTCTTTAAGCTGCAAGTAGCAAAATTCTGTGGTTTTCCTCTTGAGATTAGTGATGCAGACTGTGACAACAGATTTGAAGAGAGATTACACACGTTTCCTGACAAACAGACACTAAAGGAAAGACAATGTTGAAGTACACATCACCTCCCACAACTGCAGATGACAGAGAGTACAAGAAGAATGGACACCAGGAACAGCTAGACTTGCATGCAGCCCACAAGCAGCAATGCCTGTTGCCTCAAGTCTGCAGCAGCACAGTGGGCTATGTATTTTGTGAATTTGACACCGCAGGCAATTTTTACATATGATCTCAAGGAAAAGTAAACAAGTAATCTCCCTGCCATTGCCTGCAGGCAGAATTATCTAGGTTGGAAGGGAGCATCAAAGATCATCTAGTCCAACCCCATCACCACTAGACTAGGTTGCTCAAAGCTCTGCCCAACCTAGCCTTGAACACTTGTAACAATGAGGCATCCACAACTTCTCTGGGCAACTTGTTCCAGTGTTTCACCACCAGCACCATAAAAAATGTCTTCCTTATATCCAACCTAAATCTACACATCTACACTTTCTGTTTAAAACCATTGCCCTTGTCCAGTCACTAGAGACCCTGGTAAAAGTCTCTCTTCAGCATTCTTATAAGCCTCTTGAAAGGCTGCAATAAGGTCTCTCAGAGACTTTACTTACACATAAATTACCTAAGCATATATGAGTATTTGTAATTAGAATAGTAGCTCTATAACTGCTATAAATCCCTTAAAACTGGTGAAGTTACAAATTAAAATTGTTAACCAGAGAAATATATGGCAAGTTTACCACTTCAACACAAAACAAAGAAAATCCAGACTTACTGGAAAGATACTTCCACCACTGAGAAAATCCTGTTGAATACTCCATGACAGGAGGACCATCCATCCTTTCTCTAAAACCTGAGTGAAACTAAGTGCTGAGGCAAAAGTTATATAAGCATCAGAAAGAAGTGTCATGCCCTGTCAGTTAAGCTACTTAAAATTGACAGTAAGGTGAAGTGGAACCAAAGCCTGAAAAAATCCCCTAGACCTATATACACTTCATAAGCAGCCAGGAGCAGAAGAAAGACTCCAAGCCCACGATACACAGCTGGCATGAGAAGTCCCAAAACTAAAAGGTAACATCTCTTTACTATATAATTAATTCATCAAATCAGACAGATGTCTAAAGATATGTCCCTTCAAAGAATGATCTTCATGTACCTGATGCATCAACATCCAGAAGAGATTTTCTATGAATAATGGAATTAAATATAAATTTGAGCAATAAGGGAGTGGCCAACTACACGAGTAGGATGATTCAGTCCAAAGCAGCTCTTGCTGCAAGAACTAAAACACAGCCAAGCCCCTCACCAACACATGAGAGAAATTCAGCTATCCCTCTACTGAAAATAGTAAGGAAGGAAGCCCTTTACTCTGAGGTGTGAGCAGGTAAGTCAAAGGCACACAGAAGTCTCCCTGCTCTCAGTTAAGTAACGAAAAGATGTAATTGCAGGGAAAGCCCTGTTCAGTCTCATGCTGAAGACTGGCTGAGAAATCAGCAGGACACACACAAGACTTTTTTGTGAATGCACGATCCAAAAATATTCACACATTGACAGCCTCAAACACAAGCAAATATTCATGGAGATTGCAAAAGCCATGTCAACAAAGACAACCCTACTGGAAAAGCTCTAGAGGTATCTGAATTTACAAACAGGCTGAGGCAGAGTGAGGCACAGAAACTTGAGTTTCTTCACCACAGTTACACTTTGGTGAACTTATAAGTAAATGAGACCAAGACTCCATACTTGAGGCTTGTGGCAACATATCATAGAATCAGAATAGTTAGGGTTGGAAAGGACCTTAAGATCATCTAGTTCCAACCCCCCTGCCATGAGCAGGGACACCACACACTGAACTATGTCACCCAAGGCTCTGTCCAACTTGGCCTTGAACACTGCCAGGGTTGGACCATTCACAACTTCCTTGGGCAACCCATTCCAGTGCCTCGCCACCCTCGCTGAGAAGAACTTCTTCCTTATATCTAATCTAAACTTCCCCTGTTCCAGTTTAAAGCCATTAACCCTTGTCCTACCAGTGAAACTGAAACATCAAAGCTAACTCAAACAGCTAACAACAGCATTCTGAGACTTCTGTATTAGTTTTATCACCATATGCAAGTAGAAAAAACAGTGACTCCACACACTAAAAGCTTTGATAAGTAATTATATGATCTCAGTATTATCAATCTTGACTGCAAGCTGCAATTTGGAAATTAAAATACTAGAAACTCCACAGAACACTACTACATGTTCACTATAAAGACACAAAAGCTCTGACAAAAAGCAGCAAAAAATGTCTTAAAATCAAACTCTGGAAATCAATATTCTGGAGATGCATTTCCTTAGCCAGCTGTCCTCATGTAACACCAGATTTCTTTTGTACAATACTGCATCTTCAGTGACAAGTACCCTTCCCTGCTTGCTCTATGCTTTCCCCATTCTACATCATGTCTTCAACAGATCCATGTTCACCTCACTGGGTGAGTGCTTTCTTTAACCTTCCTGGAACCTAGAAAAGTGTTTCTTGAACGTGACTCCGCTTGAAAGGTTCAGTTCAGTTACTACTGTTGAGTACAGTTCAGAAAGAAAAGCTGAATGGTGGAAACTTCAAAGTACAGAAGTTTACAGTATAGGACACAGCCAAACTGCAACCTTTTCTCAGCCTGCAACTCAGATATTCCCAACATATAAAACTGACACATGCTATCTTCTTCCCCTTTGTCCTCTCTTATGGGGACAGTAAACCATTTTTTCGTTGCTCTTAACCATACTCTTCAGTTTCGTATGTTCGCAAACCTTACAAAATAAATGTTATATTCCAAAATCTCAACAGACTCCACTCATAATTCTCAAAGAGCCCTGTTTTCACTCATATGTCCTTGATACAGAGTAAAGTTCAAAAAATACATAAGCAGAAGTTTAAAGAAACTGACTTGGGTAAAAATATATTTTGTGAGGGGTTTTTTTCCCCTCCAAACAGTTATCTTGCATCAACACAGAATGTGCCAAGATGACAAACAGCATAGAAAGGCATTCATTAGCACATCACAACAACTTTCCATCATTCCAGCACTGCAAGAGACCAATGAATCCAGTATTACTAATACACTTTG